CTGGATCGGGCACTGGCACAGGCGGCTCAGGCTCTGGATCGTTGTCAGGAGATGCAGACTCTGGATCGGGCACTGGCTTAGGTGGCTCAGGCTCTGGGACAGTGTCAGGAGATGCAGACTCTGGATCGGGCACTGGCTTAGGTGGCTCAGGCTCTGGGACAGTGTCAGGAGATGCGGACTCTGGATCGGGCACCGGCTCTGGTGGCTCAGGCTCTGGATCGTTGTCAGGAGATGCAGACTCTGGATCGGGCACTGGCTTAGGTGGCAGTGGCTCGGGCGTTTTGAGGTAACAGCCTCAGCCATCGTCGTCTTGGTCGACGTAACGACAGAACCTGTATAATGTCCTTTGTCCCTGCGGTAATGAACAAAGAACACTTCATGATTACAATGAGTTTCCCCGCGTCACACGTCAGGCCGCATGCCTCATGTTGTTTTCACTACGTGATAGACGCCACCGACGTCCTAACTAATCCTACATGATGCAGCTGGAGGCCAGCCTTCCCTGTACGGCACAATAAGCTCGACTGGCCTCCGTATTTTAAGCAACGAACCTTTGCAGATGCCGAGGCTAAACTCTTCAGGGCATTCTTTGCGCATAATGGCCTGCCAATGCTGGTAAGCCTGCGTGTCGATCACCGCTCTGGGGCTGAACGATCAACGCGTGGGTGTGGGGGTGATCGCCCTAAATGCGACCTGTACGTATGTGTACTTGACTGATACGTATGATCGCAGAGGTTGACCGATTCGACAATTGGCCTAGATCGATATAAAGCACCTGTCTCTCAGCTCTCAAGTTGGGCAGAAGAATTTGACAAGCACACAATATACTGTCTCCACGAAATTGACCCCATCATGATGCTAGCCAAGCTTGCCCTCCTCGCTTCACCAGCCTTTGCTGCTGTCAACGAGCCCTGCTACGGCCCCAACGACCTCGCAGGCGTCTGTGTCTCGACATCTGCCTGCTCTTCGGCCGGCGGCACCTCACACAACAACCTCTGCCCCTGGGATGCAGCAGACATCAAGTGCTGCACCAAACCTTCCTGTCAGGGCTCCTCCTCCGCCTGCGGCTGGACGTCCGATTGCGCAGGCACATCGACGCCTGGCCTCTGCCCTGGACCTAGCCAGAGCCAGTGCTGCAGCTCCACGGCCAACGGATGGGGTGGCTATCCCGCACCCAGCTTCCCGGCGGTGGGTTCTTGCAAGGCTGTCGCGGTGGACGGTGCCAGAACTGTCGTCGCCCAGTTCCCCGGCCGAGTGAGGGAGATTTTCTGTATTCGGGACTGCGCCTGTCCTGGAAGCTCGGACCATTGCTGCGGCATGGCGATTGACTACATGATTGCCGACGGTGGTGGTGTAAGTGCACCCTCTCCGTGTACAAGATTTCACACTGACAGGGCTGGAAACGATAGCAAGCTACGCTTTCAGGTATCGATATCGCCGAGTGGGTCATGGAACAGGGCTCCGCCATGAATTTGAAGTATGTCATCTGGGGACAGAAGATCTGGCACATTTCCACGGATGGCACGCCCAAGCCTTGGAGCCAGTGGCGAACGATGGAGGACCGTGGTGATATTACGCAGAATCATTGGTAAGTCTGCCCCCCCACTTTTAATTCGGTCTGCCACTGACGGACAGCAGGGACCATGTGCATGTCAGTTTTCAGTAGATCTGTTGAGCAGCGTTGAAGGGTTTGATTAGCTAGGGTGTCGGGCGAGATTTTGTGGTCGAAACTCGTAGTATTGTGATGGAGACGAATTGCACGGTAGCGGATATGAATTGATGTGATGAGGCGGTTGATCCCTTTGGCATGACTCTATGGTCCACCTTGTCGCGTGTGGATGCTCGCAGTGTAGCTTTTTGATAGTCTCCAAGACGTCCGTTACCTCAAAGACCGCCAAATACCTGGCTCACAGTCTCGCCTTCATCGGGCGTAACGGCCATCTCCAGCAACTCGTGGGCCATCTCGACAACCCACCCCTCGATGCCCGCCTCCATGACCAGATCCTCCTCGGCAAAGGTCAGTCTCCCCAAAGCGATGAGGTACCGCTGACTGCATCCGTAGGCAACTCCCAATTTCTGGGCAATGTCGGGCGTGTCCGTAATTAGAGTATGCAGCAACAGCACGCATTGCGATATGATGCGATACAGCACGACAGCAGGAGATGCCATGTCCGGCGGTGCATCGGAATCCTGAGGCAGGGCATGCGAGGGGATGGAAATGTCGTAGAGCGAGTCGATCGCGGCGCTGAGGCAAGTGACCGTTCGGGGCAGAGCGTTGTCGTGTGCGGCGAGCTGCTGGGCGCCGAACGGGTATCGGGCAAATGTGAGCAGGCACTTTAATGCAGAGACTCGAATGCAGCGCTTCTCAGCCTCCGTCGTGGCTGATAGAGGGACCTCCACCAGCTTTGCGCTCACACGCTCGATAACGAGACGAGCGACAAACGCTGGCTCCTTGTCGTCTAGTATAGGGCCTAGCGAGTCGGGCAAAGAGGACGTGGCCAGCATCTCCAGCATGCCAATAATGTCGTCCGTCTTCTGCTTTGGTGTCAGAAGGAGAGTCACAAAGTCCAGCGACATGAGCCGCCAAAAATCGAGAATCTTCAGTTCAGTACCGTGGTCGGTTTCCATAATCGTGGTGACGCAAGCCAGCGAACAGGCATAGAGTAGGCTCATCAAGTCCGTCGTATCAATGTCTTGCTCCAGATACCGGTACTCGTCGCTGTTCGACAGATCCCCATCAGGCAACCGGTGTCGTCCTTCTGCTAGCTTCCGTATGGTAACTTGCACAACATTGGCAAGATTGGTCACGATGAGGGGCGCAACGTACGTCGTATGCAGCTGGAGCGTGAATGTCACAAGTGCCACCAGGTACTTGATGGGCTGCCACAACTCTTCATTAAAGGCTCTGTTCCAGAGGCCCACGACATGCTCAGCAAAGTCCACCAAGAGTTGCATCGGGCGCTGCGGGTGTCCCATCATCGGCAAGGTCTGGAAGATGTGGGTCGCCATAGACACATCTGGGTCGGATGGGAAGGAATATCGCGCCAGGAGATCAAACGTCGGCGGTTCCCAATGAAACGAGGCGTGGTCGAGCACGAGCTGGAGGAACTCGAAGAGCGGTGCGGGTGCCATGGCCGCTACGGCAGCTGCTGGAGGCACCGACTGGGCGGCAGCCGGTCTGTCCACCATAAAAATGTCATCAGTATGTGTTTCCAGCGCCGTCACAGGACTATCCATGGTAGGTCGCTTCCTCTTATTCTTGCTCGGTGTCCGTTCTCCAACATGGACAGCGACAGACCCGGCTCCCCCACGGCCGCGCCCCTGGCCTTTGCTGGGACTCGCAATCTCCATGCCATCGAAGCCATCAGCTACGTTCCATGCCTTGGTCGATTTCTTCGGCGTCGTTGCCTCCGAGTCCCGCCTGGTTCTGGACGTCTCTCTCCTCTTGGGCCGGTGCGTGGCATCACGCATGTCTTGCTGCAAGAACTGCAGCTCGGTACTAGCCGTCTTCTCAGCGGCCACGGCGGCCTCGATCATTTTTTCTTGACGAGCAATATGTTCCGCGTTGGTGCGCCGCAACCTGATCACTTCTGCGCTGTGTTCCTGGTCGGCTTTCGTTGAATTGGCACGTATAATGGAGATCTCGCCCTTGGCAGCGTTGAGCTCACCCTCGAGGGCTCTGACACGTTGCTGTAATGCTGAGAAGACATTCTCGTTGAGATTCGACGGCTGCTGCGAACCCTGGGACGGCCCAAAGCGATGCGATGGCAGAGTAGGCTTCGTGAATTGGCTGGCTTGGGGACGCCCAATACCCGCCGTTTGCTGGGGAGCATATTGTGATCTTGCTGCTACTGAAGTAGTTACACGGCTGTCTGGATTGATCATCGGGTTCCAATTCGGATTCGGTGGTATCGGCGGCCTTTGAGCGGGCGGTTGCTGGGGCTGCTTGAGCAGACTATTGTCAACCAGCGGGCGTCCCAAGGGAGCGCCGGCGGGATTGATGACCTCCGAAGTGTCGAGGTCGTCATCTTCATCCCAGCCATAGTTGGAGAATGCCCTCTGTGGTTGCTGTCGGGCGGGTGGGAGGCGCTCTTGGTGCTGGGTGTGCTGGTGTGCTTGGGTGAAGCTTATTGCGTTATTCTCGAGTTCTTGGAGGGCATTATCCGGCAGGTCGTCGAACCCATCGTCGGAGAACTCGTCGAGGTCCATGGAAGGCCATGAATCTCTGTGGCGCGAGGCGTGCGGCGCCCCAAGTGTGAATTGAAGACGCGCCGTTCGACATCAACGCGTTGAGGGGCTTGCCGTCCCTGAGGGTGATGTGGCTGAGATGACATGCCAATGTGGCGCAGGGCCCTCGTGTTCACTGAAGCAACTATGAGCCACCAGCCCCTGTCAGGCGGGCTGAGCTTGCGTTGAAGCCTTGTCAAGCCACACATCTACACGTCATAGTGGTTTGAGAGTCGCATTCAAGACAGCGCAGCTCGCGAAGATGGACCAGGACTCAGGAGTTCACAAATGCGGCTCGCGGTACTTCACATGCCCGATGTCCGCTCGAGCAAGCCGGCCTCGGGAGCTCCGCGAATAGAGCGGCTAGCTCAGCCGAGTGCGAGGTTTGGCGCCGCGAAGAAACGAGCCCCGAGGTTTCCGGGAAATTAGACAGGCGGACGTTGTCGAAAATTTGTACACTACGTAGACGGGCCCCTATTTCCAACTTAAGCATATCCGTACTTCACGAGGAACTAGGACATGGAGTCGGGGTCAAACGCAATTCAGCTTGTCCTTGGACCTACTGCTAGCCTCCCGCTACGGACACGCTTCATTCTACTCGTCTAATGCGGCTCGAGTCAAACTGTCAAATGCGTGACGTAACGCGACAGCCTCAGCCACAAGCAAGACATCAGCCTGCAGGGAGCGGACGCAGAGGCAGGCCACTTGGAACCCCCGCAAGCCTGTCTTGATGGAAAGGACAAATAGCAAGTGACTGGTGTTGTGATTTCAACCTCGAAGATCTTTGTTCTTAATCCGACCGGAACCTCCGCATACAAGTAGTTGTAGTTCAGATTGTGGCACTGACACATGCTGACTGCGACCTGACACGCTAAACGCCAATCGGAAAGTTACAAATCGAGGAAATCCGAGCGACTTTGCAAGTTGAGCGAGCGACTCCACCGTCGCCCAATTTGTTCTTACCCTCCTTTCGTTACATCACGGCCTACTTTACTCCCCCTCTTCTGTGGTCTAACAAGCAAGACTCTCGAGATTGTCAACCTTCCTGCTCCCGTCGACAGCCGGCGCGAGTCACAACCTACCAAGTGTCGAACTCTCTTCCCGCGCCGCGCGCGTCGCCAGCTGCGACATACCGCACCTGCGCGCATCCCGTGCGTCACGACCCTCGCGAAGCTGCTCTGCTCCCCGCCTAAAGAGGCCTAGCCCAGCACCATGACAGGCGGCAGGTCCAAGAAGGGCGTGCGCTTCCAACACCGAAATGGCCAAGCGGATGGCCGACGGTCGAGCTTCAGCGACGTCAGCGAGGAGGGCTCTGGCTCCCCCACGCGCAGTCGCAAGGAAGCGCTCGAGCCCGTAGACGAGGTGAGCACTCCGTCTCGTCGTGTCTTGCACGCCCACGAGTGCAATATCTAACATTCCCGCCGCAGAAACCACCACCATCGGAGGAAGAACAGAAAGCGGCCGAGACCGCGAAGAAAAAGGCCAACTTTTGGACGCGTACACTATGGACTTTTATCATGATCGCCATCTTCTTCGGCGCGCTGTTCATGGGCCACATCTACATCATCCTCATCATTACCGCCGTTCAAATCATCTCGTTCAAGGAAGTTATCGCCATTGCCAACGTGCCCAGCCGAGCGCGCTCCTTGCGGTCGACCAAGTCGCTGAACTGGTACTGGCTCGCGACGACAATGTACTTTCTCTACGGCGAGACCGTGCTCTACTACTTCAAGCACATCCTGCTCGTGGACAAGGTGCTCGCCCCTCTGGCGACCCACCATCGCTTCATCAGCTTCGCGCTTTACGTCTTCGGCTTCGTCTTCTTTGTCGCCTCGCTGCAGGCTGGCCACTACAAGTTCCAATTCACCAACTTTGCCTGGACGCACATGGCGCTGTACCTCATCGTGTTCCAGGCCCACTTTGTCATGAACAACATCTTTGACGGCATGATCTGGTTCTTCCTGCCCGCTGCGCTCGTCATCACCAACGACATTTTCGCCTACATCTGCGGCATGATGTTTGGCCGCACGCAGCTCATCAAGCTGTCGCCCAAGAAGACAGTAGAGGGCTTTGTCGGCGCATGGATCATGACAATCATCTGGGCGATGCTCTTGGTCAACATTATGAGCCGCTCCAAATATTTTATTTGCCCTGTCAACGTGAGTTGCCCTCCTTCCCTGGGCTGGCCTGTATCTTTGACTGATCCCCGTAGGACCTCGGCGCCAACGTTTTCACCGGTCTCGAATGCGACGTCAACCCCGTCTTCATCCCCCACACATACACGCTGCCAGACTATTACTTCCTACCCAAGGCCACCACATACTCCGTCACGTTCATGCCCATGCAGCTCCATGCCCTGGCCCTGGCCACATTCGCCTCTCTCATCGCTCCGTTCGGCGGATTCTTTGCCTCTGGGCTCAAGCGCACGTTCAAGATCAAGGACTTTGGCGATTCCATCCCTGGACATGGCGGCATGACCGATCGCATGGACTGCCAGTTCATCATGGGTCTCTTTGCGTACCTGTACTTTCACTCGTTCATTGCCGAAGACACAGCCACATTGGCTGGCGCCATGGACCTCTTTCACCACCTGACCCTCGACGACCAAGTGGCCTTCCTCCCTTGGGTGTTTAGGTACTTTGTCAACAAGTTTGGCTCGATCCAAGAGCTGAGCGAGTACCTGGTGAAACACAGCTCACAGGATGTCCTGATAGAGGTATGCCATATCCGAAACCACCCGTCGGGATGTCGCTAACAATTTCAAGCTGCGCCAAGCTATTGGGCAGATCAGCGGAGCCATCGACAAGGCTATTGTAGCCGCCTCATGAATATAGAGATCTTGCATACCCTCACGACCAGACGCAATTTTAATGTACTAATTATCTTTATTGGTTGCTTCCCAGAGGGGAAAGCGCATTGGGCCGAGGCAAGGACATTTGCTGCGTGGAGCTAGCAAGGGTCTACGAGAACTAAAGAGGGAGCTTATCTAAAGTGCTCACTTTCAACTTATATCCTGTTTCACGCACGGTGCCTCAATGATTACACATCAGTTATTATTTACGTGAAGACTTTGTGGGTTCATTTTCGTGAGCACGCTAACTGGGTGCCACAGTAATGGACCACGACAGGGATTGCCAATGCAGTCCCTACTTTTGTGGTAGGCCACGATAAGCTTCAAAGATAACCAGAGAGGACAATTATCAATCTAGTGGCAAAGAGGACTAGATTCCGACGGCCGTTGACCCACTTACCATGACGCCACTATGGCGGTTTTTTTATAGGGCTCGTTTCAAGATATTCATTAAAAACCTCGGCCGTGGGACGTCGTGGGAGCTCTCGAGAGTGTGTAGAGCGCGAGCGACTTCCATCGGGCCCGTGCTTCTGTCTCAAAAGCCACGCTTCCCATATTGGTCACTCTGCAGACTCACTGCATCATCTTCAGCCATCTTTGGATTGGCGGCCGTCCCAAAGAGGCAAAAGACTGTTGGAGAATCTCCACCAGCTCGCCTCTTCCCCCACGCATCTGGTGCACTGGCGCGGGAGCAACTGGCAACGCGCAACTGTAGCACACGCCCTGGACTAGCATCTAGTAGTCCAAGGCTGAGCTACAATCGAGTTGAAGGTGAGCTACAGACTAAGCACCGAGTCTCACAGCTTCTAGCCACCGCATCTAGCCTCCAGGACCTGTCATTGTCTAATGAAAGGTTTTCATCTTCCTGGCACTTGATCACTGGTACAAACATCATGACAACAACTTTTCCCACTCACTTCTGCAACATACAGAATGTCTTGCTCGACGGCCAAGTCTTGCGAAGACTGTTCCTGCGACGACAATGGACCTCAGCCCATCGACATTGAAGATGCAGTCAAGCAGCTCAACGAACTGAAGCAGCGGAACACTGAGCTCGAAGCCAAGCTGGACGCACTACACCTGAGCAAGGAGCAAGAGTCTCGCACGCGAAAGAATGTGAAATCAAAGTATCGATCGTCAGCATGGTTCGATGCCAGGGACGATCCTGAAATGAATGCCAACTACATCGAACGGTACCTCAACTATGGCCTCACACGCGAAGAGCTCCAGTCTGGGAAGCCCATGATTGGCATCGTGCAGACGGGATCCGATCTCTCCCCTTGCAACCGACACCACATTGAGCTAGCGAAAAGAGTACGAGAGGGTATCCGAACCGCGGGTGGTATTGCGTTTGAGTTCCCACTGCACCCCATTCAAGAGACGAGCCGACGCCCCACGGCCGCCTTGGATCGCAACCTCGCCTACCTGGCCCTCGTTGAAGTCCTGACTGGCTACTTCCTGGATGGCGTCGTGCTGCTGACTGGATGTGACAAGACGACGCCGGCTTGTCTTATGGCGGCAGCTACTGTGGTAAGTCCCTGCACGTGGAATCACTCTTTGGCTGGGACCTAACAGCTCCAGAACATGCCAGCTATTTGCCTGAATGTCGGACCCATGCTCAATGGACACTCCCGCGGGGAACTCGCTGGGTCCGGCACCATTGTTTGGAAAGGAAGAGAGCTGCGCCTCAAAGGTGTCATTGACGAGCACGAAATGATCGACTATATCTCTCAAGGGTGAGTCAAAACCCCTCGACCGATTGATATTTCAACTCTAAAAGCTTCCACAGTACGCCCTCGGTTGGTCACTGTAATACCATGGGCACAGCTTCGACGATGAATGCCCTCGCGGAAGCCCTGGGCATGGCACTGCCTGGCTCGGCTGCTATACCAGCAGCCTACCGCTGCCGGAGCCAGTGCGCCTATGAAACAGGCAAACGCATCGTCGAGATGGTTGAGGAAGACTTGAAGCCAAGCGACATTATGACCCGGGCTGCATTTGAGAACGCGATCGTCGCCAACGCAGCTATCGGTGGCAGCTCAAACGCGCCCATCCACATCAATGCCATTGCGAAGCACATGGGGGTTGATCTTTCCATGGAAGATTGGGATATACACGGCTACCATATCCCGCTTCTGGTCAATGTCATGCCTTCGGGCGAGTATCTGTGCGAGGAGTACTACCGCGCCGGAGGTCTGCCAGCCGTTGAGGCAGAATTGCTTGATCAGGGCAAGCTGCGTGGTAATGCTCTGACGGCCAACGGCAAAACTATAGCAGAGAACGTGTGCGACAAGCACTCGTGGGATCGACGCGTGATTCGCCCATACCACGATCCTCTCATGCACGATGCCGGCTTCATGCACCTCACGGGCAACCTGTTCGACTCCGCCATCATGAAGACCTGCTGCATCTCAGAATCGTTCCGCAAGCGCTTTCTCTCTGATCCTAAGGACCTAAACGCCTTTGCGGGTCCTGTCGCAGTTTTTGATGGGCCCGAAGACTACCACCAACGCCTGGCGACGGCACCAATCGACGACCGAACCATCCTTGTCATGCGCAACGTTGGACCCCTAGGCTATCCCGGTGCAGCCGAGGTCGTCAACATGTGCCCACCGGGACACTTGCTCCAGAAAGGTGTCGGTGGCCTTTTTTGTATTGGAGACGGCAGACAATCCGGCACATCGGGTTCGCCATCTATCTTACACGCCAGCCCCGAGGCGGCCGCGGGCGGCAACCTTGCTGTTCTCAAGGACGGCGATCAACTGCGCATAGACTTGTTGAAGAGGCGCGTTGACATCCTTGTCGATGAGACTGAGCTGGCGAGACGGTGGAAGGAGAGTCCCGGAGCCGGACATGTTGAGCTAGAGAGCGCTACGCCGTGGCAGGAGATCTTTCGTCAGGAGACAGGGCAGTTGTCTGGTGGTATGGTCTTGCGCAAAGCGACCAAGTACCAGCGCCTGGCGCAGAAAGAGGTCCCAAGACATAATCATTAACTACGTGCAGTCTACTGCGCAGGGATGTTGGGACATGAGGAGTTTGAGGCTGGTTCGAGTGCGAGGTGTTCTTACGTGGGCCTGCGTGATTAGAGTCGCTGTCGGCCATGTAGACATTATTTCTTATTAATTAACAACGGGCATGGATCTATGCTCGCGCTATTTCAATATATTAACGGAAAGACGACACTGAATGAGGTCAGGAGACGGCTTGTGTCAAGATCGCATGCCAAGACTTGTATAAGATTCTTGCCCAACCACGATGCGCGCCTTGAATGCCTATAGTATCCAAATTCACTGTCTGCGTCATTTTGGAGCATCCATGTTGCTCTAAGCCAGCTTTCCAAGTGCTTCGCATGCTTGGTCGGCCTGTATAGCACCAACATGGTATAAATCGTAGATGGCCGAGTCGGCCAGATGTCTGCACTTGAAGGAACCCAAGGCCTTAAAGGTGTGCTTAGCTTTGGAATACTTTTTACCAGAGTGCCCATATTGGATGTGCTTTATTCATGTTTGCCGCTTGTGCCTTCATTGTCGTGCTGTTCATTCCCAGAGAGCAACTCCTGATCTGCATTTCCCTAGATTGCATTTGGTCCATTTTGCTTGTGAGATTTCGTTGCGGCGACCCTCTTCCTATTTTTCGTTGGCTTTTTAGATTCCTCGCCTTGGAGCTTCTATGACACTGAGCTTTCTCTGAGCTTCGAATGGAGAAGCATCCGCCCGTTCACCCTTTTAGTGGTTGAGTCTATCAGTATCGCTTCGGGGAACATGCGTATGCGCTATCGATGCCGGTCTCGTAGATTTCGAGAGCTTTCGAGACTTCTTCGATCTCGGGGGCTCGTAGTCACCCTCTCCAAAAGGCACGAGTCGAGGGGGCATAACGAGCCCTATTAGAACAAGCTCGCAACTACACCCACTATTTATTAGCATAGGATTTAATTGGGGTTGAATAACAGTTATTGAAGGGTAGGTTCATTACTTTATACCTTTTTTACTTAGTCGACAGAGCTAGCGGTCCTTGTGGCTAAGTGTCTTTAGCTAGGGTCACCTAGCTAGCTCGTAGAACTCCGCCTAAAAAATAGCGATCGTAAGAGGTCGATCCGTAAGAGCGCGTAAGTTTCGCAATACTGCGGTAAGGCTGTAACTCCTTCTTGGACCCTAAGGTAAAGAAGCTGTTGGTAGTTGGTGATACAATTAGAGAAAGCCCGCGATAGTATAATACCGAAGTAGGAGAAGAGGTACTCGCGCGGAAGAGATTAAGGTAACTCTTCACGAGAGGCAATTCTATACGTCGGAGAGGCTAAACCTACCACGTCCCTCTTATCGCGTAGATCGCGTAGCTTAGTATATGTAATAACTAAGGAAAAAACAACCTTACGCCTTTGCTCGTATACCATGTCCAAGGAGATAGTCACTAAGGCGGTAGTATAGAGTAGTCTTGTAGAAGGGAATGAATGTCGTGTTAAGAACTTTTTAGAAGTCGGAGAGTGAGGTGGTAGTGACCGAGAAAATACAGAGGAGCAGAAGACGTACCAATGATGGTCGCGCTTCAAGTGCACACGTGCGAAAACCCACCCACAACCCTACAAGTTCGGTTGAATAACACGCCTGAATTCACAATGAGTATCTTCCAGGCTAAAGGGATTGTTTCGTTGTTTTGCGATGCACACCGGTCGAGTCAGCATGGCATCGACCGCTAAGACGTGCAACCTCATGCTAACATACGACCTACGTCTGCCCACTCTACACAAGACTTGATCCAAACCCAGGAACGCTTTCCCTCATGTCTTCAAGATCTCCCCAGCTCTCAAGATTGCCTGAACCGTTTTATAAATCCACTCCTCCGCGTCATCCAGCCTGTCGTGCTGGATGCCCTCCGTGACGACAGGAAAAGTGACTGCGGCATAGCCTGAGAACTTGTTAGAGAAATCTCTCTTACTAATTGGCAAAGAGTTTGCTTACCAGTATCTAAGCCTGGTGCTGTCACAACATGCTTGCAGAACTCACGATCCGGCAGACCACCTTGCGAGACGAAGCTGCGCTGGAAGTGGGCATACTTGTGGTTCACGACTTTGATGAGGTCTGCGTCCTGCAACGCTCTGGCTTGGTTCTCGAGGGCATTTGCCTTATTAACTAGAGCCGAGAATGTCTCGATGGCGTCATCAAGCTCTTCCAGATCAATATCGACTCCGTACTCGGCAGCAAAGTCCTTCAGATCATCTTCATACGCCGCAAGCCTCGGTGGCATAGTTCCGGACATCAATCGGAAGGATCTCATCGTCGGCCAGGTGAATGCGAGGAGAGCGAGGTATTCTCCGATGGCAGCGTGCTGCAACAAGCCTGGGTACCCAAAGGTTGTCATCCAATTGTAAGTGTCGTAGTTGGAGTGGTAGTGCCATACTGGGTCAGTAGGCCCATTGCTGGATCCAATATCGAGCTGCGCAGACTCAATTAGCATATGTTGGATGAAGCTTCCACGCCTTTGTAGATTGAGCTTACCGAGTTGATCCCAGAGTGCAAAAAGGAAGTATAGTCACTCCCACTGCCAAGAAGCCCAACCTCGCCACCGGCATCGCGCTGCCATGATTCGTACAGAAATTCCTTGAAGGCGCCCGCATTAGGGGCGATGACCTTTTTGAAGAGGTCGGTGCTGATAGTGTGCAATTCAGGTGTGACACCTAGTCCCACGCGCGGACCAGAGACACAAACATCAATGTTGAGATACGCGACCGCTGTCTCTGTGAGCCAGTTGATGTTGTCTTCGACCCATTCCGTTGATCAAACAAGCCCATACTCTTACCGCATCCCACGATGCAAGGACACTATGTCTGTTAGTTACGAGGTCGCTTTTGAGGCGTGGTAAACCACCTACATGTTGCGCTTGGGCTTCCAGCCTGTCTTCAGAAGAGCCTTGAATGCCCTGATGAGCTCGACCAAGATGGCAGAGCGCAGAGTTCGGGTCGCCATTGCCACCGATCATCCAAGTCACGGTGGTTGCCAATCACAATGGTCTCCTCTGTATTAGTGGCGTTGAGGGTAGCGATGACGTTCCACACTGGCGCAATTTTCTCTTCCATCTCATTCTCCAAGGTCAGTGTCACCATTGGTGCAGGTCCGGTGTTGTAATTGGCCTCGAGGACACCAGCCCAGACAGTGCGGTTGACTTCCTCAGCAGTATGACCATGGCCATCGAGCGCGGCAAATAGAGGCTAAGCGGCAGCGTACGAGATACGAATGGAGGGAATCTGAGAGGTGAAATCGTCTACAGCGGCTCGCTCCACACCGTCATGGGACGAGTATCCAGGAGTGGTCGGATCGCCGGGGCGCGTCGAGAGAAAGAGACAAGATCCTTTCTATACGGACTCGGGGTGTCTTAGCCGGACCGCGACCGCCTATCAATTAATCAGCAAACGCGCACCGCCGGCTTGAGCAACCGACTTTTACCTGGATAAGCCTCGCAGCCATTGGCTACGGTGTACTCGCCGTTGTCGCCAGGATCAGTGTAGAGACAGCACCGATGGCGCCGTGATCCTGTGCATTCTTGACCTTGAGCCCACGGGAGCCCTCCGTACCTCATCAACGCAATCTTGCCTCCAAAACCGACACCAAGTTCTTGCAGTCGTTCAAAGTCTGCAATTTAGCCTTGTCCAACGTAGATTTACTCAGCCATGACAGTGCCGCCGGCAGAGTACCCGTCGAAGATCGGCTGATTGTCCTTCCTACCCGTCTCATCGTCACCCTCAACAGCCTCTTCCTGAAGGTTGATGTCTTCGCTTGTGCCATTGTCCCACGTAACGCTCAGTTCCGGTTTCAAAGGGTAGCTTGAGGTACACATGGTATTCGTTCAGGTGAGCCTCGAGCCCAATCTCCGTCCACCAATCAACCGTCCACTGGACAGCTTCTTTGCCCAGACCGGCGAGTTTGTTCTGGTGACCGTAGTATTCGGATCACTCATCGATGGTCACATTGTCAAAAGCATTGACAAGGACAGTCTCGTGCTCGTTGAGTACAGGAGGTCATTCCTCATTGCGTTTCGTGATAGGCTGTCGATGGGTATGGCGCTTGGCGGGCGAGAAGTCGCGAGCACAGGCTGACACGGTTGCCGCGAGGAAGAGTGAGCGAACGAGCATCTTGTCCGAAGAAATGACCTAGAGTAGAATCCGCGTCAAAGCGGCTCGGGAGCCTGCATGGCTAGTTATGTTCTTGGCCGCACCAGTGTGACTACGGCCTTCTGTAGGCTGCATGGCCGCTTTAACTGTCATTGCGTTCTTGGTCACCCCGCAACTTGATGCCGCGCCTGAGATTCAAGGTTAGCCACGTTCCTGGCACGATGGTCTGTCGAGATGAGCTTAAAGCGTCCCCGCTCAGGATGACCAATTGGCTGCATACCCGTGTTGGTGATGGGACTTTCGAAGCTTGACCGAATAGGAAACACGTCATTCCACGTGCTGGACAACTATACTAGCACTAAAAAGGAAGCTCTTTGTTTGAATTGAACTGGGGTTGAAGCATTGGAGCTGACAGGCGCGTCAGCATGGATGCGCGTTCGTGAGAGGAAGCCGGGATGAGTGGGTGATACCGTGATCCGCGATGGCCAATTGGTCGGATAAGGCATGTGGAATGTCGTCACAACATCAGTGACCGGGCAGATGGACGAGCTGCGAGCAATGAGTGGCAAGTCAATGTTGTCGAGGAAGGTTGGCGGTGACTGAAGATGAATTACAACCGAAGAGTGAAGATCGGATGCACTTTGTGTATGATCGTGGCCTGCAGGGTAAGGCAAACGGATCCGATTCCAATACCAACCTACCCGCAACCGTGTGTTCTTTATCACAGCCAGAAACCTCTGGCATCGGGGGCAATACTGCAACATTGACAAAAGCATTGGAGGTAACAGGGATGTGGACGTGGCATATCCCAAGCGGTGAAGCTCATTCAACCAGCAACGCAATTGTCTGCTGACTACAAATTCAAACGAGCCTGATGCTGCCACAAACCAGAATTTCCCAACATAGATCAAACGCGCCAACATCATCACAACGTGGAAAATAGAAGAGCCATGCCCGTTGGAAGTTTGTTATACTACGTAGCATCGTCAATAAAGCACGCATGAAATCGACCAAGATAGCAAGATCTCCCCAAGGATCATGTGGAACTCGTGCTTGATCTCGGCAGATGGTTTCAGCCGGGATTTGCCGGCTCCGCAAATGCCTTAACGAGGACATGACGCCAAGCCTGCGATCCCCAATCTTCTTCCCAGAACCCTATCGCGACAGGAATCACGCTCAACGAAACGACGACGATTGCAAAGCCATTCCCGGGAATCGAGACACTGGCTCACGAGCGACCGCTTGAGCTACACTCCGACCTGCTCTTCATCACCTATCTGCATCCTCTGGAGCTCCTGCCGACGCAATTGAGCCAATTACATTCACATCCCGCGCCAATTCTGCAAGTCGCGGCGCTGAGGGAGTAACTTCTACCCCTCCCACCCCAAAGCTTCTTGGACGTACTTGCGTACCGTTCCCGAGTCCCCGCCGTGACGCCGACAGTACCGTCCCTCCATCCCTCGCTTCGACCTTTCCTTGTCCCAATGCTGCCCCTGCGGATTCCGGCGACATCTATAACACGCTCCTCGCGCATCCTCCTTCGATCGATTGCTCTTCATCCTACAATCAAGAAAACTATCTGCTCTTGTCCTCGACCCCAGCGTACCACGCCCACCCCGAATACACATCCCGCTCGTCCAGCGTCCAAGATGACTCAACCACCTCAGGAAGTAATTGACTACCTCAAGCAATCCCACGACAAGATCTTCGACAACAATCGCAAATGGGCCGAGAGCAAGCAAACCCAAGACCCTGGCTACTTTGCGCGCCTCTCCGAGGGCCAGACACCCGAGTATCTCTGGATTGGCTGCAGTGATTCGCGCATCCCCGCCGAGCAGATCACTGGTCTCGAGCCTGGCGAGACCTTTGTCCACCGCAACATTGCCAACCTCGTGGTCAATACCGACCTCAACGTTATGAGCGTCATCAACTACGCCGTCCGCCACCTGGGCGTCAAGCACATTGTCGTCTGCGGTCACTACGGTTGCGGCGGTGTCAAGGCTGCCATGACCCCCAAGGACCTGGGCTTGCTGAACCCCTGGTTGCGTAACATTCGCGACGTCTACCGCCTGCACGAGGACGAGCTCGACGCTATCGAGGACGAGACGGCCAAGAACAACAGGCTGGTGGAGCTCAACGTGGTGGAGCAGTGCCGCAACATCATCAAGACGGCGGCGGTTCAGCAGAGCTATGCGGCAAACGGGTTCCCTATCGTCCACGGCTGGGTGTTTGACTTCTCGACAGGCTTGCTGAAGGATCTCAACATTGACTTTGAGTCCATCTTGGCTAAGATCCAGAAGATCTACAACCTCACGGAGTAGCTTATTTTATGGAGAGCATCATCATGTATGGGTAGAAGCGGATGAATGGGTAGAGGCGGGTCGGAGTTGAGTGTCTTGGGATATGGGGCAGCGTGGGTAGGAGTTGGATTGTAGTAGCAGCGTTGAATGGAGACAGCGTGTCTTGGCTAAAGTAAGCAGGTCGCGAGACATGGTTGTTTGAACCAGTGACTCTTGACACAGTACGCTTCAACGGCACCCAAGATAGGATAAAGAATCGCATTGTGGGCGACTTGGATGATGTCGATAATGGTCACAAGAGGGACCACTTTCTGAGGGGCATGCCTCAATTCTGGCTAATATCGCAATGTCAGCGCTGAGACTTATCAGAGACCACCGAAATATGTCTCCGGTCGTTTTGGCGGTAGAACCAACGTGGCCTGGTACGGTTCAACCTCTGGGCTACGTCTATTAACCTCGAAATCGCTTCCTGGCAAGCAAGAGAATGGTGGGGCTTCTGAATGAATGCATGCACGTGACTCGTAAGCACTGCGGCCAGAAAATGCTACGTTACCAATCTAATTTCCCACTATACTCCCCGTAGAGCAAAGCGTATGCCCGTATTTCTAATGCATGGAAATATTAGGGATTAAAGATAGTTCCTGTTGTGGGCTAAGCCCTGTTGGAATAACTTGGTAGCTCAGATTAAGTCTATCTAACGATAAGGTAGGAAAAGAGAAAGGAAAGGGAATTTATAGTCCCCCTTTCCTATAAAGACCCTACGTGTCAGGGGGGGTCGGTCGGCAGGTAGGACGGGGAACACTCGGTCAGGCTGATCTGGTCTATTGCTACGGATAGG